AGCCAAGATCCATCTGTCAACAGCAATGGTATCGCTCATTCCACATCCTCTTCTGAATCTGGCTTGAATTTCTGGCAGTCCCCTGTCAATGTACTGCTGCAACCACTTTTGAATGATCTTCAGCAAAATTTTACTTGTATGTGATATTAATGATATTGTTCGATAATTTCCACATTCTGTTGGATCACCTTTCTTTAGAATAGGCATAAAATGTAGATCTCTTCCAGTCAGTTGGCCAGGTAGCTCTCTTCCAAATTTCTTGGCAGAGATGAATGAGCACTTCCAGCATTGCATCCATTTGTTGAAACATCTTAATTGGTATTCCGTCAATTCCTGGAACGTTGTTGTTTGCTAGTGTCTTCAGTGAAGCTTGGACTTCTTCCTTCAGTACCATCGCTCCTTCATCATATGCTACCTCCAGAAATGATTGAACATCGACCAATTCTTTTTGGTACATTGACTCTGTGTATTCCTTCCAGCTGCTTTTGATGCTTCCTGAGTCGTTCAGTATTTTGCCCATAGAATCCTTCACTATTGCAACTCGAGGCTTGAATTTTTTCCTCAGTTCTTTCAGCTTGGGAAATGCTGAACGTGTTCTTCCCCTTTGGTTTTCTAACTCCAGGTCTTTACATATGTCATTACAATACTTTACTTTGCCTTCTCCAGTTGCCCTTTGAAATCTTCTGTTTAGCTCTTTTACTTCATCTTTTCTTCCGTTACTTTTAGCTACTCGATGTTGAAGGGCAAGTTTCAGAGTCTCTTCTGACATCCATTTTGGTCTTTTATTTCTTTCCTGTATTTTTAATGACCTCTTACTTTCTTCGTGTGTGATGTCCTTGATGTCATTCCACAACTTGTCTGGTCTTCCATCACTAATGTTCAATGTGTCAAATCTATTCTTAAGACAGTCTCTAAATCCAGGTGGAATATACTCAAGGTCGTACTTTGGCTCTTGTGGGCTTGTTCTAATTTTCTTTAGCTTCAACTTGAAGTTGCATATGAGCAATTGATGATCTGGTCCACAGTCGACCCCTGGCCTTGTTTTGACTGATGATATCGAGATTTTCCATTGTCTCTTTCCACAGATGTATTCTGTTTGATTGCTGTGTTTTCCATTTGGTGAGTTCCACTTGTATAGTTGCTGTTTATGTTGTTGGAAAAGGTATTTGCAATAAAGAAGTCATTGGTCCTGTGAAATTCTATCGTGCAATCTCCGACATTTTTTCTATCACCCAGGTCATACTTTCCAACTAACGATCTTCTTTGCTGTTACCAATTTTCGTATTCCAATCACCAGTAATTACCAATGCATTCTGATTTCATGTTCGATCGATTTCAGTTGTACTGTGGGGGCTTGTGTGTTGCTGTGATGCTAGGAAGCTATGCCACTAGTATTCAAATACCAACAGGGTCACCCTTGGTGGACAAGTTTCAGCTGTGCTTCCAGACTAAGACAAACTACGAAACAGGACCTGGAGGTCTACTTCAGAAAAAAAATAGCTAGTAAGAACCTAATGAATAGCAGCGGAGCATTGTCTGATATAGTGCCAGAAGATGAGCCCCTCAGGTTGGAAGGCACTCAAAATACCTCTGGGGAAGAGCTGCCTCTTCAATGTAGAGTTGACCTTAATGACGTGGATGGAGTCAAGCTTTCGGGACCTTCTTTTACTGATGTGGCATGACTCAAAATGAGAAGAAACAGCTGCAAACATCCATTAATAATAGGAACATGGAATGTACGAGGCATGAATCTAGGAAAATTAGAAATCGTCAAAAATGAAACAGAACGCATAAACATCAATATCCTAGGCATTAGTGAGCTGAAATGGACGATTACTGGCCAGTTTGAATTGGACAGTTATATGGTCTACTATGCCAGGAGTAACAACTTGAAGAGGAATGGAGTTGTATTCATTGTCAAAAAGAATACTTCAAGATCTATCCTGAAGTACAATGCTGTCATTGATAGGAATCAAATTAAGATCCCCAAATGATCTTCCCTTACTGCCCCATCCACCAATGTTTTTTATATATATATACATATATATATATATATATACATATATATATATATACATATATATATATATATACAAAATCAAATAAAGTTAGATCATGAAGCTTGCAGAATGTTATTTTGATCCCTTAGATTTTCAAGTGGAAAACAAGGCAAGTATCATTATTAACTAGATGGTATATTTATATGTATTTATTAATTAAAAGTAGGTGAGCATAACCATTATACTCACAAAGGAGAAATAAACATTTGGAGATGAAGATTATTCAAGGCACAATTCTCAGAGAACAAACAGAAACTTTGATGAGAATGATTGATACAATTGTCTGAAGTGAACAAAGGTGATCAACATCTGCTTCCTAGTTGGATGTGATTTGTCTGACAGGTAGAAGTAGTGCCTACTCTCATTTTTTATACACCATCCTTGGCTTATGTGTTATTATGATTCTAGAAGCTATGCCACCAGTATTTAAATGCCGTCAGGGTCACCCATGTGGACAGCTTTCAGCGGAGCTTCCAGACTAAGGAAAACTAGAAAGAATGGCCTGGTGATTTCCTTCTGAAAATTAGTCATTGAAAATGCTGTGAATCACAATAGAATATTGTCACTGTACTGGAGATGAGCTCCTCAGGTTGGAAAATACACAGTGGCCACAAAAATGTACTCAAAGATACCAACGATCGTGAAGATGACACAGGACGGCAATGTTTTGTTCTGTTGTACATGGGGTTCTGTAAGTTGGCACCAACTCGATGGCAACCAACAACAATTCCTGAGCTTCAAGCTCTCTCTCCCTCATACCCAAGGATGGGGAACAGTGATGGATGAGGCCTAGGGATTGACTGAGGTGACAGTTTCACACATTAATTGTAGCCCAACTGCATCAAGCTGATTGCCTCAAAATACCATCTGCCCAAGAAATGTGGAGGGCAAGTATGGTCACCATTTTATGGATGAATAAATTTTTATTCTTCCTCTCAATCTCTTACCTTATTTACTAGGTCCCCTCTTGGCTACAGATAGTAACAGCACTGTGTATGTGTGTGTGGCACGGGGGAGTGGATATGAATTTTAAATTCAGTTTTCAACAATCAGAGCTGACGGGATGACTTCACTTAACACCCAATTCCCTGTTTATACATTAAGTTTATTCAAAATGATACTGTTAATGATATTAGCAAATTACTGATCTGATATTTTACTAGGCTGTTTGGCAGGTCACATGTTTCTAAGTAAATTTTCATTGATTCTTTAGGAACGACATTAAAATGAACAAGGATTAGATTTGAAAGATACACACACACACAGAAATATAAATATTCAATAAATTATTTTAAAGACTGTTTAAGGCCAATTTTTAGCTTTTTGCACCCCTCTACCACATAAAAATCCAAAGATTTCTTTTAAAGTTTCCTATAAGCTAGCATTTCTCAAGTATGTTTTGATTTTTATGCCTAGAAGATTTTTAGACGGCCAGATGCAGAACATAATTTTAAAATTTATCTAATGATATAGTAGATAGGAGCTTAGACTCTAAAATGAGTCTCCCTATGTTAAAATTCCAGATCCATTAGTTTACTAGTTGTATAACTTTGGGAAGTTTTTCAACCTTTCTGTGTCTGTGCCTTAGTTTCTCACCTATAAACCCTCATAAGGCTTGTTGTGAGGTGTGCACAGTACCTGACACACAGTAAGTGTCCAGTAATTATTATCCTTTGTTTATTCAGCAGAAAAAAGGCTGGCTAGCCAGCTAGATGGCATTCTCCTACTCGCCAGAATGGTGGTGGTGTGCTAGGTCCTGTAATGTATATACACACCAGGAAGACACACCTTTTCTGAAGACACCCTCAATAAATATTATGGAGTTCAGTGGTGCTGAAGTGTCTTGCAAGGCAAAATCTGGTGGGTAAATAGGCATTATGATTGGAATTTCAAGTAGCAATGAATTTAATTGCTGAGAACATTTAAATCTCATTATGTCAGGTAAGGCACCACTCAGGACTTGCAGCTCTCTTAAAACAACTGGTTATTAAAAAGGCAATCAAACTCACAGTGTTTCCTAGGGCACAAAAAAATGTCTGGGTAAATTCCTTTGTAAAAATGCAAAACAATAAGTATAAATGCTGAAATACAAAGCATTTGTGGAATGGTTAGGTTTTTCCTAGCCCCCCCCACCCCATCTATAAATCATTTAGACAAATCTCCTTCAATGTATGTTGTAAAGGCACACTAGGCCTGAAGCAAGATAAACAGGTGCCTAAATTAGAGAGAGTTGCTAGAAGCAGACTCCATTACAATCTCCCTTAACTGCAATTACCAGCCAGCTGGATTTTGAGAAGAATGCCAATTTAGCTGCAAAAATTAGTGTGTCCCTAGGCTAAAACCTTTATTTTGGTCTGGGATTCTGGAATGCTAACACTTACGCTAGTAACTACATTTACTAAGCATAGGAATCATGGGAAAGTCACTTTCATGTGAAGTTTGTGACATTTTTTCTCTAGTAGGTTTTGGCATGGGCAAGTCTTTGTGTGCCTATTTACAATTAAAGTGAATTTCCAAGGCTTGGAAGTTCTGGCTTCAGCCCTGAAGTTCCACAGTTTTGCCTTTCCAGACTCCCTTACCTTCTGGGCAGCCTTGTAGCTATCTTGATGGCAAGGCAGGGCCTCTCCTGGCAGGTAAACCTGTCTGGTGAATCTGCCCCTCAGGGGCGTGTCAGTACCATTTCCTGGAGCAATTTCACAGGGTGGCTCCACTTTCCATTTGAGCTCAAATACTTTGCTGCTTCCCCTGCAGCTACCAGACCTGCTTCTGCTGCTGCTGAGGTAATTCTCACCTCTCTCTGGCACCACTACAGGCAGTGGTGGTTGATGAGTGGTGTCTACACATGTACCTGCCTGCCTGCGTTCCTACCCCTTTCTTTCAATGTCTCTGTTTGTTCCTTAGGGAGAGCATCTGGGGCATTGCTTGCTGACCACTGAGAAGATGATGAGTTCCAGCTATTGGAATGAGACCAGCAGCAGCAGCAGCTGTGGGACCCAGCAGCCCCCAGAGGTGCTGCAGTGCCAACCCCAGCATTACCACTGCTATCATCAGTCAAGCCAATCTCAGCAGCCCCCAGAAAAAAATGTAGTATATGAACGAGTGAGGACATACAGCGGGCCCATGAACAAGGTGGTACAGGCCTTGGACCCCATCGGCTCACAAGAAGTGCTTTCCCCTCTCAAAACCGCCTCCTCCTACCAAAATTTGGTTTGGAGCGACCATTCTCAGGTACCGCAAAGATAGCTGTGCTAAGCTAGTGGAAAGGGGAAATCTTGAACCTCATTTCTCTTCTTCTTTTCTGCTTCTCTGCCTCTGTTCCCAGGATGTTACTTCCTGTGGAATTGCACCTATATGTGCTCTGGACAGTCACCCAATTTCCACCTCTTGACTGTTATTCTATTTATTAGTGCCTATGGTTGTTTGTTTACCAGTTCCAATGGTTTTCATAATCTCATCAGAGCATAGGAGGTCTCATTTCTTGTTGGATTAGATTGGAAGAACTGATCATCTTTTGCTGCTACTGCAAATCATTCCTCACCTTGAATACAGTAGTTTTTTAAGAATCAGTTCCCACTCGTTTACTTCAGAAACAAGCAGGTTTTTTGTATTAAATACAGTATTGCAGGGACAATGGTGTGTATTGAGTGACTAGCAATTATTTGTGTTCAGTAAATAGTATGCTGCTCCAAGATAAGTGACAGGTGTAAATGTCTATTTGAATAGGCAGATATGTTTCGTCTTCTGAAAATGACGCATTGATTCTTGTACAGTAAGAATTGTGAATAATTTATGGAATATTGGTAGGAGGAATATTGAAAAAGTGATGTAAGATTGAGAAAGGTGAGATGTAATCAATTGTTATATGCAAGCTGAATAAAGGTGGAATTCTAAGACACCTTTTAAAATGAAATAAATTTATTTATGGAAGAGACAATTTTAACATCTAATACCTGTGCTAATAATATCACCAGTGAATGAAAAGGAACATTGCAAAACTCTGTAAAATAAACAGCTCCTTAACCAAAAGTTCGGTGGTTCGAACCCACCAGCTGCTCCACAGGAGAAGATGGGGCAGTCTGCTTCCAGAAAAATTACAGCCTTGGAAACCCTATGGGACAGTTCTACCCTGTCCTACAGGGTCACTATAAGTCAGAATCAACTCCACAGCAATGGGTTTGGTTTTTGGTTTATGTCTATTTTCATTCCTTAACTCTCTTTACATCAAGTGCACACGTCTTAAGCTTTGTGGAGATGTCTATTCAAACTGAAATTATGTTTTCAAGATACAATTTGGACTGTGAAAAACTCATAAAACAACCACTGAGGTGAACATTATCCTATGTTACATTATTATATCAGTCTGGAATTATATAGAATTTTTTTTCCAAAAGCCACAAATTTAAAATAAGATATGAAGTGATATCTCTAAAAGTGTATTATAAAAACTACGTGTAAAAGAATTTTCCAAAGACATAGATCAACAGAAACTCCAAAGGCCAAATTTTTGCTTTTTTATTTCACCCTTAGCTTAGTTTGAGATAAATAAAATAGAAAACAAATTTCAGGATTTACAGCCTGTAATTTCCTGGTTGAGAAAAACTCCACCTATACTGAGGTCAAAGGGAATAAAAATATGAAGATCAAAAATAGTAGTTTGTGTAAGTGATAATAATAATGTAGATGTATATTCCAATATTTGTTGTGACAAAATGGGTGACACCTTTGTTCCATAGTAGCCAAAACAACAGTAATGTGGAGGCCAAAAAGATCGATTACTATTATCTTATTATCATAAGAATGCTAAAATAACTCTATCTGCCATAGTATGTTAGACATATTTAGCCTCTTTTTTGTCAACTTGCTAGTAAAAGAAAGATATATAGATTTTAAAGGCTGAAATTTGGAAAATTATAAATATTGCTTACATAAGAAATTTAGGATCACACCTTACTATATGCTCCTTGGTTCAACTTTCCCTTTCAATAATCCCAGTACTAAACTGGTAGAGCTTTTTTTTAAAAGACTTTTCCTTCTTTCCACCTGGTATTTGCCAAAGCGATCCTTACAAGACTATCTCCACTCTGAAACATAATTCCTCATAAAGGAGTTTATAAAAGAACATTAGGGATAAAAAGTGTGGTCACAAAAACTGAGATAAGAGATTGGAATGAAACTTATTAAGAGGTCTGAAATTATTTATGGTTGAAAATAGAGACACAAGTATGAGCTGGGGTGAGGATGAGGGAGTTGAGATTCTAACTATGTGGTGAATAAAAAAAGAGAGAGACAGAGAGACCGCCTTCTCTTAGTGAGAAGAAAAGAGGGAAAATTTGATTATAAAATTTCAGACTGAGGAAGATATCAAAGGACATTCATAAATTAACTAAAAGACAATTTGGCAAGAAAGCTTTTAGATCAACTGCCACAAAGAAAGGAGCCCTGGCGGCGCAGTGGTTAAAGTGCTAGGGTGCTAACCAAAAGGTCAGGGGTTTGAAACCACCAGCCCCTCTAGGGGAGAAAAATGTGGCAGTGTGCTTCTGTAAAAAATTCACAGTCTTGGAAACCCTATGCGGGCAGTTCTACTCTGTCCTACAGGGTTGCTATGACTCACTGGCAGTGGGTTTGGTTTTGAGTTTTGGCCACAAAAAATGTGACTAGGAAAATCTTCTATTTTATTTTCCTTTCTCCCTCTTTATTGGCAAGATAGCGTTGTGTAAAGTAATACCTAGATTTGATCTGGAATTACCTTCATGTTGAAGAAATTGGTAAGATGTGGTAGCAGCTTTATTATATTCCATGCCAAGCACAAGCAAGTAGTACATATTACTCAAAAAACTTTTTTCCATTACATGTTCTAATAAACTCTCTCCTTAATATGCCATGTTTCAGAGGCATTTTGAGTTGGTATGCAGCAGTTATTATCATGCCAGAGTTTGTGACCATGGCAGCTAGGAAAATGGGTAGTACAATCAATTGTTTTTCATTATGAATTCACTTAAACTTTCTACTTTAATATTTTTACCATTTTGGTGTTCTGATGACATTCAGAGAATTCGTAAGATTTCAAAATAGATATAATGGCCAGTACAAAAATATGTTCCCTTTGAGAAACGGAAATTGATGCTACTCTGTTTTCTTTCCTGAATCTTAATTTTTGCTCATGTAATAGACTTTTTAGATTTAACCAAATTTTTTTTTCGCAGCACTTTTGTGTTTTCCATTTCTGCCATTTTTTTAAATACATGTTTTTCCCCTATTACCTTCTTGAGAACTAAAATGTTATTTATAGACATAAATTTTAAATTTCTCCAGGTATATAGCCTTGCTTTTTTCTTTCTTTTTTTTTTATCTATAATTGATCAGATACATTTTACAATTTTCTTGGTGATTATTTTGTTTGCTTGATTGGGTATTTCTCAGAGAAAATTAAATGTAGAAACCAGTCTAAGTTGGTGAAATTGTCTAAGTTTATGATAGAATTAAAACTACCCAGTTTATCCACACAAATAGGCAAAATCAAACGCAGATGTAATCAAGGTCATAAGATGCATTTTAGAACTGAATGTGGTCTTGTAAATAAATGGAGTTCTAGAAGCTACTTACAGAAAAGAAAACCTTACATCTCAGCCTCTAAAAAAGCTTAAATATTAACCTACCCCCATTAACTCAACATAGACTTTGCTTTGGACTTGCATTTTTCCCTTCTGTTCAATTAACTTTTCATAAAGTTCAAGGTATTTTCCATGTATACAGAGGGACCTGTTGTGTGAGAGAGAAATTGATGGAACTATAATATTTTTCAGTACCATTCATTCATTGAACAGACATATTAAAGTGTCTATTATATAGGAAACACTGTGGTTGTCTGGATAAATGCCACTGGATTTACCCACGGAGAGTCCATTTTTGAGGACCAACATATAGTGCCCCGTATGTAGGTGTCCCACTTGCCTATCTATATTTCATTTTTAAAGATTATTTTGTGTTTTGGCGATCAGTAGTTTATTGAATAAAACAAGTTTTGGTTCCAGAAGGGGTATTTTAATGTATGTGTTATAAGGGTTACCAGTCTTTTGAATTTGAGGCTTGAAACGAAATTTAACTCTAGAGAGCAGTGCAGGTGACAATGCGTGTTTATGAATGGTCTCTTTTCTCAATAATTATTCAGCTGGGAATTACCTTTGTTTACATAATTTCTTTTCCTTTTTCTTCAGTTACAAAGAGAGCTCCCGTACTGCACCAGGATTTCTATATACAATCAGGAAATTTTCCTGTTGTGTCAGGAGGGGTGTGTTGCTTTGATACATTGTTGTTCAAGGGCGTGGTCACTAAAGTGAATGATTGTTCAAGGAAGTAGGTTGCCTGAAAAAGGAATGATGTCATAGGATAAAGGAGTCCACGCTTTCAGCTTTGGTCATCCCTTTTGTGCCTACAATTTAATGAAGCTATAGAAATTGTGAGTGCAACTAATTGCTGGGTGAAAATGCCCATACCAATTGTCTCTTGTTTAAGGGAGTTGTGATAAATTGCTGGGCCTGTTTTCAGTCAGTAGCGCTCACAAGCTGTCATTGTTTGTGTGTGTGGCAAAATGGGAGCTGGGAGGCGCTCGAGAAAGAGAGGGGAACTTCTGTGGTCCAAATTTCTTCTGTTGACAATTCATGGTAAAACAACTGGGAGGTTTGCCGTGCTCTTAAACCCCATTTAAAAGTGAAAATCTTTCTGAACAAGTACATTTGAGCCAACTTTTTCTTCACAGCTATTCCTTTTTTGATTTCCAATGGAGCCTATATATACTTACAGTTTTTAAGACAGAAGCATGCATTGCAGAGAGACTGTGTATTTTCTTTTCTCTCCAGCTGCTGGTTTTCATTCAGGAAAAGGATAGAAAGAACCCAGGAATGAGCCTCTTAAATGAGGATTTGAGTTGTGGGGAAGGGGCTTAGGGAACTAGTCATTCTATCGTTTTTATCACATGAAAAGAGAATCACAGATTTTATCCTAAATGAAGGAGGTGTTTGTCTTATCTAAAGAGATTATAGTTAATGTACATGTTCCTTGCTGTATAAGATTCAGAACAGCATCTCAACAATAACCTAAAGCAGGTGTTTGATTAAGTTATTGGCGTTGCAATGTTCTAACAAGAGCATCTCCCATACTGTTCATGAAATTTATTTGTACGAGAGTTTACATTGACAAATTCTGTCAGTATATATGTCAGGTGGATTTTA